AAATGATAGATAATTGTGTTCATATCTGTGTGTTAATTTATTAATTTGAGATATTGGAGATGTCACTTTTTGCTGAGATGTTATGATTTTGTTTATGCAGACAATTCTCGGGTGATGGTACTTGCTGCGACTAATCGTCCTTCGGACCTTGATGAGGCAATTCTCCGTCGTCTTCCTCAAGCGTTTGAAATTGGGATTCCTGATCGTAGGGAGAGGTCACAGATATTGAAGGTGATTCTGAAGGATGAGAGTGTTGAAGATGACGTTGATTACAATCATATAGCTGGTATTTGTGATGAATACACAGGTTCAGATCTTCTTGAGCTCTGCAAAAATGCTGCTTACTTTCCTATCAGGGACCTGCTCGATGATGAGAAGAATGGAAAATCATCTTCGGTTAGTAATTTCTCCTTTGCTTGCTTAATCAGCTCTTTTGGAATTTTATTTTCAGTCTACAATAATTGGGGCTATGACGACCTGTGATAACAAGATTGATTATGTAATAATCTCAGAATATAGCAATATTTTATCAATTTATAAGCCATCTATTGCATTGAAAATGCAATGTGCCACTGAATTGAGGAAGATTCAAGTTCTTAAAATTCCTTGCCTGCTTTATTAATTTACTGAATCAATCGATTCTACTTTTAACTTTTATATCATATTTACTGATTCGATTTCATAAAGAGAACCTAGTAAATTCCCATGACCCCATAAGATGCAAATCCTTTTCGTGTGGCAACTTAAATGGTGTCGCAAGCTATAACGCAATTCTGCCAATTGTTGCTATGAAATAAATTCTATGAAAATTACTGACATGCTAGCTTGAATCTGTTGTTGTATTAGTTCATTTACAATGGCAATCTCAGGAGCCTTTTTTAGATTTTGATAAAAGTTCATGAAATGCATGATTAAAATTAATTGATGACTTTGATTTGAAATTTTTATCAACTTTTATTTACACCAAACAAGGGCTTACTTTTCTCCGTGTGTTCTCTTCTGTGTATCTGCAGTAAATGGTTGCTTCTGCGGCAAATAGATTTATATTTAGTTCTAGAACACAACTTATGACATGCAATTTACGAAAGCATGAAATTATTAAGTCCCTGTTTGATTTAGCCAACGATTAGATTTTTAGTAGATTTTAATAAACGTTAATGAAATATGTGGTTGGAAATTTGATAAAAGTTGTGGGTCTCGTATAATGTGTCGTTAAAAATGAGTTTTAGAAAATGGGGCCAAACAAGGGCTAAAATATTCCTGATTAAGCTTTGAACGTGAATACTTTAGTTCAGGAATGAATGTTCTAACTTCTAACATTTTTCTTATCAAATTTGTATGTATTTTCTAGGTGCCAAGGCCATTATCGCAGTTGGATTTGGAGAAAGTCATCTCTAAAACAGCCAATACGAAAGTTGCTGCAAGCGAATATTCCAAATTAAGTTCACAATCACCATGGCCAGGGCATAGGGATTCAGACGATTATCAAGTTCAAGCAGCCATTAATGAGGGTATCTAAATCGTAGTTTCCCAAAATTTTGAACAATCAGCCGGGTTCCCAAGATCCTTAATTGTTTTCCCGTCCTCAAAACCCTGCAGAAATCTTTTTGCTTATATACAATTACATTAATTGTTAGGATTTTGAAAACCCTTTTTCACATAGGATTAACCCTGTTAGACATTAGCATCTCCTATTTCGGGAGATCTTGTTCACTCCCTAGTCTTTTACTGTCAGGAGTGATTGATTGGACTGCAAAGAGGACTGCATGATAGTAGTACACGTTGGACTTGTTATATGTACACCCTGATTTATAGAATTTACATTTGACAAGATCTCGTGCCATTTTTCACATCTCACAATTAATTTTTTTTTTTTTTAGAAATTGCCACCTATTCATCTGTAAAGCAGTGTGTATGTTTCATCCGTACAAATAGCTTAATCCATCATACTCTTTATTAATCTCCTCGATATGTGAAGGATTTTTTAGGGGGACGTTTTCTACATGACGCAAACTGAGCGGTGTGAGATCACAGTTGTAAACTCTTTCCTCATTGTCAAAACCTCTAACTTTCACATTGAGTACAAACTAGTAAAATCCTTATATTTGCTTTTGTTATGTTCTCAAAATTTTAGGGATTACTATTTAATCCACTATATGACTTACAGACCAGAGGTATTTTACACATCCCAAACGATGCCTAGAATGATGAATGGTTTTTTAAGGGTGGTCCAACTATGGGACTTCCATTAGAATTTGAAATCGTTAATTGCATGATGATGATGAGCTTTTAAAGGACATGTATATTCTACTTTGTTTATACAAAAGAAAATAATTACTAATTTTTTTATTAATTCATAACAATATAACGTGATCTACTTTGACACATTCTACTTAGACTGTTTTTGATTGTCCATATTATTTATATAATCTCTGTGTAGCTAACCCAACTTCAGAGTTCACTGTGGCTAAATCTTTTACGTATGGATGAAAGTAGTAGTCATCCAATCCATTGGCGATGAGCGAGCCTATATAGTAAGGATCATTTTGATATGGCTGTTGAGACTAGTCTTTTTATAAGTAAAAATTTTATTAATCAAGCTTTTTCAAAAAGAGTAGTTACTAAAAAGTTCATAATTTCTAGTTGTCAAAACAAAAAGAATAATGCTACTTGTACAGGAGAAGATATTTAATGGTTTACATGCATATGAATTGTAAAAAAAAAAAGTAATTTTTTTATTTGATTGAAGAAATTTTGATTCAATCTTATTTCAATACATCATGTGTATATAAATCATTATGTACATGTAGCACAACAGAAACAAAAAGGTGTTGTAGTGAGTATTAAATTGACTGTTTGGTTGCATTACTAGAAAAATACTTTTGATTTATTAATTGTAAGAGTGATTATTTGACTCTATTATCTATAATTTATTTGTTTAAGACGTTAAAATATGACACGTTAGTACGTAAAATATCGGAAAAAAGTATGAAATATTATAATTATTCGTACAATCTCAACTTTTTTCTCTTTAAAAAAAAAATACATAATTTTATATTTCATTTCTAAAAATATTATTGGGAATTAATAAATGGAACATTAATAATAAATAAAACTTTGAAAAAGAAAATGTCATATTAACCGTTGAAAAATAATGTTTAAATTATAAAAGTTGAAGTTAGGGTGCGTTTGATTGCAAGGGTGGAAATAAAATGTTTTATAGGGAAAAGATTTGCCTAGAAAATGTTTTGTAGGGAAAATGATTTCAAATGTGTTTGATTGGTATAATTTTCCACTCGAAAAATTTTTAAATTTTTTATTCGTTTGGCTTTGTTTTATATAGAAATTGTCTATTAAAATGATATTTTTTTCACAATTAGTTATAAAATTTGTTTCAATTGCCAAAAAGTAAAAAAAAAAAAGGAAAAAAATTGTTTCCTAAAAAATCATTTTTTTATCAAAGTTTAGTGTTCGTTTGATTTTATTTTATATGAAAATTGTCCATTAAAGTGAATTTTTTTTTACCATTAGTTATAACATTTGTTTCCAT